CACAGTCCTCTCTCTCTCTCTCTCTCTCTCTCTCTCTCTCTCTCTCTCTCTCTGTCTCGTTTCAAATCCACAACCCCCCCCTCTCTGGTTTCAAACCCACAATTCCCCTGCCTCCCCTAATAAATCCCTTTCATAATGGGTCAAATCCTTTCTTGCATGATAGCATTTCAAATCCCTGACTCCATGGCTCTGTACAGTCAGGCATCTCACCCCTGCCCCAGCATGGCTCACCCCTGCCTCAGCATAGCTCACCCCTGCCCCAGCATGGCTCACCCCTGCCCCAGCATGGCTCACCCCTGCCACAGCATGGCTCACCCCTGCCACAGCATGGCTCACCCCTGCCACAGCATGTGTCACTCCTGCCACAGCATGGCTCCCTTCAAACCTTTCTTCCAACTCTGTCTGCCATTTCACTGAACAATGATGTCTTTTCTTTTTGTACAGAAACCAGACCCATGAAGGTAAGAATCTATGTTTAAGATTTCCCGAGTGGCTCTGGTGCCTAACTTTCCTTCAAGGAAAGGTCAGAGGGTCCCCTACCACACCAACACAAAGCCAACCTTGTACTTTATGGTAAATTGTGATTTAATGCAGCTAAGACAGGCGCATAGAACTGTATGGGGCAGCAAAGGCAGTGGACACACGGAAAAGAAAAGGTGTCTTAAAACAATGTGGGTTTGCACAATGGAACGAAGAAAGCCGAAATGAAAAATACAAAATACAAGAGATTTATAACGCAAAGCCAGTTTCACATGTAAGTGCTTTATCTGTGCCAAAAGTGGGGAGCCCCAGTAAGTGGGGGAATGGCTCATCTGATGTGTATGGGAACCCAGCAAATGGAGGAAGGGCTCACCTGATGTGTGTGGGACCTCAGTGAGTATAAGAAAGGCTCAACTGATGTGTGAGGGACCCAGGTGAACAGAGGAGTGGCTCACCTGATGTTTGGGGAACCCCAGTGAGTGGGAAGATGTCTCACCTGACATTTGGGGGACCCCAGTGAGTGGGAAGATGGCTCACTTAATGTTTGGGGGACCCCAGTGAGTGGGAAGACGCCTCACCTGACTTTAGGGGACCCCAGCAAGTGGGAAGATGTCTCATCTGACTTTGGGGGACCCCAGCGAGTGGGAAGATGTCTCACCTGATGTTCAGCAGCTTCAGAGCATTTAGTAGAACCCCTCTTTTAACGTCATAATCTATTTTCTGATCAGTTCCAAAGCTTGGGGCTCTATTAATCTGAAATTTACAGAGAAAACAAAGAGTGTGGTTGAATGTTGGAGATCCATGTGTAATCTAGTCATGTTTCTTAAATGTATGTGTGATTTCCAGTCATGAGCCTAAGAGCCTTACATGGAAGACACTCTGGATCCCACCACCACGCCTGTTTTTCTATTACCCTAGGGCAAAGGACTACAGAAAACCACCTGCAAGCACCTACTTTTCCACTCATAGGCCTAGTCTTAACTGCCAGCATTACCTGACCACTCTCTTCAACCACTGACCCATCCATCCATCAAGCCTTAGGCAAGTCAAATGCGACTTAGCTTGAAAGGTGGGAAGACCCATAATAGAGATATTAGCAACATAGTAATAGCTACATGCATGTATGCTTAGCACGCAGGAATCACCAGCTCCCTCTGTTCACCACCCTGATGAATTCTATTGCTTCCTAAAATATAAATCTGGTTTCTCGCTACCTAGCCCAGTAGCGATTCAATACCCTTCATTTCTGCAAGGATTGATTCAATCACTCGGAAACCATTCCTAACTACAGACCGGACCCAATTTTCCATCCTGAAAAATGTTTGCAATGCTTGGAAATTTCGCCAGTCATTGCCCTGATTCTAAGTAGCTAGACGTTCACCTCCTCAGACACACGCTCCACTTTACGCCACATGGTGGCGCCAGTAGGTCTTTAACGCTGCTGCTGAGGCCCACAGCATCGTCAGTTGGCAGCAAAAAGAAGAGCTAGCTCTCGAACTGTACATTTAAAAATCTGAACATGCCAAATATTCACTACTCACAGCCAGCAATGCTTCAGGGTTTTTGTTATTAATGATTCTGAACTGAGTAAGGTATAAACAATGAAGGAAAAAGAATATAAGGTGTGTTTATTGGGAGGTTTTAAAAACCATACAGAATCCAACTGTTTAGTCAGCTGTAACTTAGCAAGCTAATGAAAAGCTCCTATGAGCAAATGCCTTTTACAAAGTTCACTTCGCGTTTTATAAAGTTCTTATTCCCAGAAATCTTTCATTCCATCCTTGAGAAACATAAGAGTGCCTTCGCTTTCCACCCATCAAGGACAAATGACCAGGACGGGAACAGAGGAAAAGACAGCAGCAGACAGGGAGCTAGTCCTGGGGTCAATGCGTTCAATCTCGGGAACAAGATTCCAGGCCTTCCTGAGACACAGACAGTCAAGGACTCTTCCATCCAGGAACGCCAGACACAGAGGAGCCAAGAGTCAGGTCTTATTTCCAGGACAAAGCTGAACTAAAATTCTAGCTAGCAGAAAAATAAACGTCCTTGGACATACAACACAGGCTATTTGCCCAGAATATATGAACACACTGTTCTCTTTCACTCCCTCACTCCAATTCAAAATGTGCACTTTCCTTCAAACTACAGTTTGAACCACGATCTTGTGTCGAAATCATTCAGATTGCTTACAAAAACCTGGAGACTGTGATGCAATTTCCTACGTCAAACAGCTGACCTAAGAGAGGTAACGGCTCTCTGGAATGAAAGGCCATGGCTGATCCTAGCTTCTGTGGCAGTTGGTTCCTTAAAATGTAATTCCTTCTGCTGTTTCCCTGACAGATGTCTACAAACAGTATGGAGGAGCCCTGAGAAGGCCGGATCCTTCTGTGATGCTGAATCAGGGGTCCTAGAGAGAGCATCTGGATAGGAGAGAGCTGGACAAAGGTTCTAGAGTGCCTCCTGAGTGACACAAATATAAACGTGACTGGGTGAGACATAAGCAGAGGTTGTTTCTATATTCTTTACATTGTTCCATATGTTAAGTGACATTTTATAATAAAATTCATGATGACTAGAGGGTACAGGCAGCAAACCCAGAGACATCTGATAGTTCGGCTTGCAGAAATATCAGATGGCCATAAGGGAGACTGTATGTTCCCTGCAGCGTTAAGTACTGGGTACTGAAAAGTGAATCAACTGGAGCCCCTCTCTCCGTGAAGTGCTTAAAGACACAATAAAGATGGGGTCCAGAGGCGGCGCCCAGCCAGAGGAGATATGAGATCCAGAGTTCATTGTCTAAGCAGCCAACGGCTCAGAGTCGGCAAGCTCACACGTCAGCTCACTCTACGTTAAAGTGAAGACGTGACAGGAAATCGTATCGATGCATTCCAGGGAGTGTTCTAGCCCCCAGAATTTTCATTCACTCCCTCCCACATACTCCACTCAGGCCTCATTCCAGCCAGTGAGCTGGGGACGCCTGTGCCAAGTACGCATTTGTAACAGTTTTTAAATACACAAGGACTGCGATCGCTTGATTCATTTTTACACTTCTTAGAGAACAGCTTACCTCTAGAAGCCATGGCTTGAGCTTTCTATCCAACAAGATGTCGAACCCCAGGACTTCGAAGCAGACGCTCTCGCTGCCTGGGGGCTGACCAGGTCTGCACATCCGATATGCATGCAGGACGTGGGGTTCTGCTACAATCAGAGTCTTTACCACCAACTCCTATTGAGAGTGTGACGAAAGGCATGGAGATGCTTTATTTGGATGTAGTTTCATTTTTTAAAGTGCCCTAGGGAAAACTAGCATCCATGGTGGCTTCATGGTACTCTATGGCACGAACCCCCAAGATGCTCTTCCCTCACCCCTCTCCCCAGAGCTGCTCTCTGCCCACTTATCTCTCTTCCACACTCTCTGATTTTCTCTAGCAGGTGGCACTTCTTCCCACTGAGACTCTGTGCTGTCCCATCTTCCTGAAGCATCTTCCCTTAGATTCACATGCCATCCCAGACAAAGTTTCCACAACCACACTCAAAGAACACGCTTGAAAATGCATCCCACTACCTACAGCATGAAACCAATGGAAGCTTTCAATTGTTTGAACAAGACCCTTGTACTTCTTCTTCATTTTTTTTTTTTTAGTCATTCCAGTGTCCATAACAGTGCCTTGCATCAGAGATGCTCAAAATCATTTATAAATAATTAAGTAAGAAAAAAAGGAGCATATGCTAGCCCTATACAAATGGAGAAGAGTTACAAGGAAGAAAAAATTGAGGGAGGGTGCAACATTCCCCAAATAGCCTTTATCCATGGCACTGGTTTGTACTCGGTAAAGGTTTCCCTGAGAACTGAATACATCCCAGCTATCAGTTCCAGAACCCACACGGCAGCTCCCAGCCATCTACCTCCACTTCCAGGGGATTCAAGGCTCTCTTTTGACCTCCAGAGGCACCAGCCATATACAGTACACACACACACACACACACACACACACACACATGTTCAGGCAAAATACTCATACACATAAAATAAAAACAAAATAAAAATTTTTATTTTATCCAAAATAAAAAGTATTGTGGAACTACCTATTAATTTTTTTCCATGAGGAAACACACTGTGGACTATGGGAAAAGCCAGTGACTTTTCTGGCATCTGCTTCCATTGGCTTCCTAACTCCTGCTGTCTGAGAACAGGCAATACAGAGAGCCGGTAAAGACCTTGACTCTCTGGGTCAGACAACAGGGTATGCACCTGGCTCTTCTGCTTCTTATCTGGCGGCGCAAGCATGCTGCTTCAACTCTGTGTCTCATTTTCCCAAATGTAAACCACCAGAGGACTGAGTGAGAGCCCAGACACAAAGTCCAGCACAATGCACAGAGCAAACCTTTGCTAAGTCTTAGCTACTTAACTACTGTTCTACTGCTGGTCTGTTTTTCTCAGGAATCCATCTCATGGCTCATGTCAAATATCCTACCTTTGGGTGGAGGCAGCTTCACAGGAAAGGGGGAGAAGAGCATTAACCTCAGTGTTATCACCCTGAGACATTGACCAGTTCAATGTTCAATGTTCAATGACTGCATATACACTGCGGTTTAACAGTTGTAACAATGAATTTGAAGTATTTTTAAAATATTTTCATCGAACTGATTATTCATAACCGTTATACGCATTCTAACAAAGTATCCCAATTTGTAGGGATCATGAAATGTGTCAGAGATTATGAGACTTACATTAGCATTTCAGGCTCACATCTAAAAATTATACCGCGGGATCTAAAAAGAAGTTAATTTCCATACCCTCCAGTAGTCTTGCTTGAGCAATTTCACCTACCTAAGTTTGGTGGGGAAAGTACAACTAAAACCAGAATCTAAAAAAGAGATCATGGCCACTGTTCTCTGGCTGGTCCTTCACTCCTACATCCCTCACTAAAGCAGCCCAGTAGGTTATATGTTTCCATGAGAACTCTCTCAAAGACCCAAACTCATAGGTAAAGGAGGAAAAAAAAAGAATGTCAGAAGATGAGAGCCTGGAGTATGTTCTGAATTAATGATGGATGGATGGATGGATGGATGGATGGATGGTGGATGGATGGATGGTGGATGGATGGATGAGTGGATGGGTGGA